AATGAACACTTGGGACCCACGGCCCAGGCAAAGAAATAACATGACCAGTACTTTAGAAACATTCTTTGTACTCTTTCCTCATTATACCTGTCTCCTTCCTCCCAAAGATAACCATCCTCTGAAATGCAGAGTTAATTATTCCCATTCTTTTTTTTTGAGACAGAGTCTTACTCTGTCCCCAGGCACCAGGCTGGAGTACAGTGGCACGATCTCAGCTCACTGCAACCTCTGCCTTCCGGGTTCAAGCAACGCTCCTGCCTCTGCCTCCCAAGGAGCTGGGACTACAGGCACGTGCCACCACGCCCAGCTAATTTTTGTATTTTTTAGCAGAGATGGGGTTTCACCATGTTGGCCAGGATGGTCTTGATTTCTTGACCTCATGATCTACCTGCTTTGGCTTCCCAAAGTACTGGGATTACAGGTGTCAGCCACTGAGCCTGGCCTCTTTTTTTTTTTTTTGAGATAGGGTCTCACTCCACCACCCAGGCTAGAGTAGAGTGGCGCAATCTTGGCTCACTGCAACCTCCACCTCCCAGGTTCAAGCAATTGTCCCTGCCTCAGTCTCCCAAATAGCTGGAATTACAGATGTGCACCACCATGCCCAGATAATTTTTATATTTGTAGCAAAGATGAAATTTCACTATGTTGGCCAGGCTGGTCTTGAACTCCTGACCTCAAGTGATCCACCTGCACTGGCCTCCCAAAATGCTGGGATTACAGGCGTGAGCCACCACACTCAGCCCTACCCATTTTTTATAGTTTTACTACCTCTGAAGGTATCCATACAACACGTATTGTTTGGCTTTGCATTTTTCAACTTTCTACATATGGCATCATACTATGTACTGTTTTCTATAACTGCATCTCTTGTTCAACATTATGTTTCTAAGATTCCACCATATGGATATAACCATCTTTCACCCATTTTTGCTATGAAGCAGTATTCCATTACAGGAGTGTATGACAATTTATAATGTAAACTCTTTCCACAATCAGACCTCTGATCTCATATTAACACAGTCTGTGGGCTAACAAATTTATGCCACACAAATTGTTGGTGGCAGTCCCATGCTGGCTTCCATGTGCCAGACCAGATAATTATTATTATTATTATTTGAGACAGAGTCTCACTCTGTCACCCAGGATAATGCAATGGCGCAATCTTGGCTTACTGCAACCTCCGCCTCCCAGGTTAAAGCGATTCTCCTGCTTCAGCCTCCCGAGTAGCTGGGACTACAGGCACATGTCACCGTACCCAGCTAACTTTTGTATTTTTAGTAGAGATGGGGTTTCACCATGTTGGCCAGTCTGGTCTCGAACTCCTGACCACAAGTGATCTGCTGGCCTTGGCCTCCCAAAGTGCTGGGATTACAGGCATAAGCCACCACGCCCAGGCTTCATCTGATTATTCTTGAAGAGGAGGCAAGATCCCACTAAGAAATGGAGCTTTAAGACCTTGCTTAGCAAGGAAATGGTACTCTGTGAGATGAGATTGGAGGAATGAACCCCTCAGATAAAACCCTTTCACAGTTCCAGTTCTACAGCTTCACCAAGCAAGGGAACGAAGGAGAAGAAAGGGTTGCTTTGACATCACAGTCTTCACCTTCATGGGCACATCAGAGCACCTTTGTTTGATCACAGTGAATAGCGCCCAATTCCAAGAAAAACCTACCCTTCAGACAGCAAAAGCTAAATATTTAGTCTGGGAGGCAGCAGGCAGAAGCCCATCATTCTCTCTGCCCCCAGAAAGCAAGGACAGCAAAGGAGTGCCCTTGATCCCAAAGGTCTGATTCATCACCTCCCAACTACAGTCCTTGATGTAAACGCACCAGTAACGCCTCACTTCCCAGGCTTGTGGGGAAGGGGATTAGGCGTGCACAAACAACAGTCTCCAGACACAAAGAAAAGCCGCTGCTGCTTCCGCTGAGCATGCCTGTTGTATAAGACCCTCTGACTGACATGCCTTATCTCAGTTCATTCCTCCAATAACCCTGTGAGGCAGGTAATAACCCCACTTTATACCTCAAAGTATAAAAGAACTGGGGATCTGAGAGGTTTTGTGACTTATCCAAAATCACAAGTAAGTGACAGGCCAGGATTTGATCTGCATCTCCTGATTCCAAAGCCCTACACCCTTATCCAGTAGACTACCCAGCCACTACCTACAGTGGAAATCACGTGTGCACAGTGACCTTCATACCTGCAACAGGAAAGTGGAAAGAGGGCTTTTAAGGAGACAAAGATAGAGGCTTTGGGTAGTATTTTCAAAAGTGTTTCCTTCTGAATGGTAACAGGTTTTATGTGAATGCAGAATGAATACTTAGATGGCAGAGGCCGAGGAAAACTTAAGAGGCTATGCGTAGTAAAAGCCTGCAGCAGCTAACAGACTGCGAAGGACTCCGATATGGCTTACACTGTTTGGAAGGTACCTTGCCCACCAGTAACTAACTAGCACTGAATGTCTGCCACGTGTGATGAGCCAAAATACATCCGATTTCCTGTTGCAGCCTGGCTGCTGTTTTAACAGCCAACAATTCTCAACACCAATGACAACAAACAAGGGTTAACAGGATCTTTGAATTTCAAGGTCGATCAACTAGAGAAATTCAGAGGCTAGTAAATAGGTCAAGAAATTAGGTCCAAACTCGGTAAGAGTTGAATTGGACTTTGAGCCCTAAATTAAGTGGCATGGGTGTGTGAGGCAAACTTTCCATCTCAGCTAAAAGACTAAGACGCAGTTACCTGCACCAAAGCTGTTAGTGAGAGTGCGAAGGCATCACTCACTAAAGAGTGAAATACTCAAGTATTCCTCGCCTGAGCTGTTCTAGCTTAACTAATTGTTTCCTTCAATTCCAAATGCCCATCATGGCTTTGTTGACACAAGATATGCCAATTACACTGTCATTCATCACCCTGTGAGACCCAACTATTACCCAGTCTTGTAAGTCACCTACCAAGTCACGGAAAATGTGACTGGTCTTCGGAAGTGAAGCAACACTTTTACGGTGACTTGGAGAAAAGAGAATGGAAGAATAGCATCTACAGAAAAAGGATCCAAACAGCCACCTTCTCTTGCTCCCCCACTTGCCATTCACCACAGCCTCATGAGCCCACAAAACAACCAAATCTGGAGAAGCTGACAGCTGTCCTCAGAGGGAGCTTTAAAGATGCTGCGGGTTTTCGCTAAAATCATATTCCGTTTTTCAAAGCATTATTCCCCCTCCCTGGGATCTGCGTGGGAAGTTGTTTTTTTTGTTTTTGTTTTTGTTTTTTAATTTTTTTTTACAGGCATAGTCTCACTCTGTTATCCAGGCTGGAGTGCAGTGGCCTGTTGATAGCTCACTGCACCCTCAAACTCCTGGGCTCAAGAAATCCTCCCACCTTAGCCTCCCAAGTAGCTGAGACTATAGGCACACACTACCATGCCTGGCTAATTTTTCTGTTTTTTTATACAGACAGAGTCTCCCTATGTTGCCTAGGCTGGTCTTGAGCTCCTGGCCTCGAGCAATCCTCCCACCTTCATCTCCCAAGAGAGCTGGAATTAGCGGCATGAGCCACTGTGCCTGGCATTGTTTGTGAAGGTTTTTACTGCCACTTATTTCTCTACTCTCTGCAGATAACAAAGATTTACAGACTACATTCATAGTTTGTACATTTATTTTCCTTAAAATGTCCTTTCAATATATGGGGATTTTGCACATTACAATAAACAATAAACAAAGGTGCCAACCCTCTCGCTCATCTCTCTAATATACTTAGAACTATTTTCCTGCCTAGACCTTCGGTTGCCATGGAAATGAGTTTGCACTACTAATACAGGTAAAAAATGGGAATTTCAGTAAATAAAATGATGTCATTCATAACACGTGTAACAAGTATAATATATAGACTCTAAGTGTAGGAGGTCTTAACCAACACTCAGAGGGAACCATGGGCCACCCCCGAAAGCAGAATGCACAGCCAGAAAATTGCACAAAGAACCATTGCTCTAAGCATTTCTATGTGTGTCCTGGAAGAATAACTGTGGCTGCAGCCCCAGACATACAAAAAAGCTGTCAAGTTTCCTGTTCGACAGTTGCTTTTATCAATAACCTACTTAGCCAGTCCCAATCTTCATCAAGGAACCTCTGACCCTTCTAAGAATCTTGAATTCTTTCACAGCCATAAAAAGCAATAAAAAAATAAGCCAGGTACAGTGGCTTAAGCCTGTAATCCCAGTTCTTTGGGAGGCCAAGACAGGAAAATTGGTTGAGTCCAGAAGTTTGAAACCAGTCTGGGAAACATGGTAAAACCCTATCTCTAAGAAAATAAAAAAAATTAGCCAGGGGTGGTGGTTCTCAACCATGCCTGCGGTCCCAGCTACTCAGGATGCTGAGGTGGGTGGACTGCTTGAGCCCAGGAGGTCAAGGCTGCAGTGAGCCCTGATGGTGCCACAGCACTCCAGCCTGGGCAATACAGTGAGACCCCATATCAAAAAACAAAACAAAACAAATGAATGAAATCATGTCCTTTGCAGTGACATGAGTATAGCCAGAGGCTGGAGGCCATTATCCTAAGCAAATTAACACAGAAACAGAAAACCAAATACTGCGTGTTCCCATTTATAAGTGGGAGCTAAACACTGGGCATATATGAACACGGAGATGGAAATAATAAACACTGGGGACTCCCAACACAAGGAGGGAGAGGGGCAAGGACTGAAAAGCTACTGATCGGATACTATGTTCACTATGTGGGCAATGGTATACCCATGTAACAAACCTACACATGCCCCCCCAAATCTAAAATAAAAATTTTAAATGTAAATTCCATTTTCAAAAAATAAAAGGATCCTGAACTCTGGACTTCTCTCTTAGCCTCCTTAACTACTGAGTCAGTTACAAGATCTCTGGAAATTTCCAACAGTTTCTACCATAAAATGTTCCCTGCCACTTCCCAGAGTGTTTTCAATAGCTCTTAAGCATCTTCCCAGCTCCTTCTTATTGCCAAGGGGGTCTTACCGGGATCTTCCACCAAAGCAGTTTGTACTGGGGGTCTGGTGCCGGTTCTCTGGAGCTGCTACTGTTCCACTGGAGTCTCTCGAAGGTGGCTGTGATCCTAGAAAGGAATCAATCACAAGAAAAGACAGTAGCATTGAGGAACTCAACTCGTGTTTGAGATTTGGCGGCCCTCTGTGTGTTAGAGTCGCCCACCACCACAGGATATGGACATCCGACAAGCCGCAGCCACGGCAGGAGAGGAACAGGGACGATCATAGAGAATCATCCATGCCACGGAGCAGTGGGGCTCAAACCTTGGAAACAGCTTCTCTTCTCCAAGACATTGAAGAACATCCAAGGCACTTACGAGCACATTATCTTAGCCATTAAATGAATTTCAGCCTCAAAAATGTGAGAAAAAGAATAAATACTAACTGTGCAACAAAGTAGGGGCCAGGAATGGGGGGCATTTCTTCATAACACACTCAGAGAGCTTTTCAAAAGCCAAATCAGGTCATCATCGTATTCTGCTAGAAACCCCTCAACAACTTTCTGTTTCTCAAGATGAGGTTCAAAATCCCTACACCAAGGACTTCAAGGCTGTGTGATCTGAGTTGACGTGTTTCTCTGGCCTCACCTCCTCCATTCTTTCTCCTTCTTGCTCCTAATAATCCAACCTCGCTGACTGCCTCTGTTCCCACCACAGGCCAAGCAACCCCGTTACCCCACACCCCCACCATGGCCTGTCTAAACTCCTCATCCTCCAGGTCTCAGCTTCCTCTGAGAAACTTTCCCTGATCCCTCCCCCACCAATTTAGATGAGATACCCCCTGCCCCACAAAGTACAGGAATCTCATACCACCCTGTGGTTTTCACTAATCGAAAGGAATCAATCACAAGAAAAGACAGAAGCACTGAGGAGCTCGACTCCTCAATGGAGTTGAAGCAGTGGAGACCATGTCAATTTTGCCCACTGCCATATGGCCAGCACCTGGTCTAAGACCTAGTGCATATCAGGGACACAATTATGTATATATGTGTTGAATACAATTACATATATATGTGTTGGATACAATTAGGTATATACGTGTTAATGAGTGAATGGCATGTTTTTCTCCAAGCACCAAAGCACCCCAAGTGCTGATCAGTCCAGTTAAGGGATTTTTCTCCACAGTCAAGGCCCATCCAGCCACTGAGATTCCAAACAACTGCTCTTGAATTGGAACTCAAATTGCACCCCTTTGAAGTTACAGAAATCCTGCTGGTGCCTGGGAAGTGCCATGGTTACATCACATCTAACAAAACATTTAATAAGAAAAATTATGGAGAAACCCAACCCATTTCAGACCTCAGACTTCATGAAATAATTTTCTGCTACATCCAAAGGTGACTAATTTCAGACTAGATCAAAAGAAACAAACAAGCAACATTCAGGACAAAGCAGGGGACACTCTCCAAACTCCCTGCTTCTGTCTGTATTTTGCTAGTGTATATCTCTAGAAGAACACAAAGTCCCCTTCCTAACCAATACCTCTCATAAAAAACACCCTCAACCTCCCCAAAATGTGTAACTGAATCAGGAAGGAAAATAATAGGCTGAAGTCACATTTGATAAAGATACTTCATTTTCTAAAGTCCACATGGGATGAAAAGATGTTTTTCTCCACTATCAAACCAAACAAGTATACATTTACAAAGACTGGACATTTACTGTGGCCCTTGATCAGAAAGCAGCCCTTCAAAATTCATGTCATGATACTGATCCAGGGTGCTAAGAAGAGTCAGGGCTAGCTACAGGCCAAGTTGAGTGGTACTCAAACCAAGATGCCTAGTAGAGAACCAAGCTCTCAGCACCTCCTGCCCCCTGCCCAGTCCCGCCCCGTCCCGGCACAGCCCTGAGGAGCAGGGCGGCACTCACCGTCTGTCACAGCACTGCCATTAGGCACACTTCCCAGATCAACAGTTGGCCCGTCCAGGAAAATCGTCAGCTCTCCGCCTGAGACAACGCTGCCTTTGTTCTCTGTCTGTAGGTTCAGGGTGAGCTGCGTGTTCTCCACTGTGGGGTACAAAAGGTAACATGGACAGGCTAAAGCAAATGCACCCCAAGTTAAGATTCTCTTAATTAGAAGCTCCCGTTTCACCTTCGTTGGCTTCCCTGGGAATGCTCTCTCCAGATCTTCAAATTTTGCCTTGTGGCATAGAAAAAACAGTGGGAAGGAATATGTCTAATGAAATCACTGTTCTATCAGGCTAGAGGGGAAGCTGTACTCTTTTTCTAAACATTTCGTATCACCAGATCAGCAACATAATTTCCACATTACTGATGTATTCGTTTGTTTATACTTGCAGGACTATGAGAAAAGCATAGGGATATTGACGGTGTACAGACAAAGAAATTAGTTGCAAGTAGTATTCCCCCTACCCACAGAAATGAAGAGACCCTAAGAAACAGTCAACAGGAGACATCTCCATCTACATGATATATTACAGGGGCTTATTCTTTTCTTATTTGTGTTAAAACATGTTTGTTTGTTTTTTTTAATTTTCAATCCTGAAAATCTATTGCCTTGAAATAAGGGGAAAAAATTTAAAACAATGAAACTTCAATATACACTAATCAGCTCCATCAGTGACTTAAGGAGAGAGTGGTGAGAAGTGGCCCAGAGCACCCCCGCCCCCAAGGATACCAGGCAGATTCAGTACTGGGGATGACTGTGGCAGAAAAATAGAACCAAGTGACTGGAGGCAGAAGCACCAAACCCTATGCAGACTGAACTGCTGCGCACACCCCTCCACCCTGCTACTGAATTTGGCTGTGCTGGATAGCTTCTATCCAGCTAAGTATTTAGTCCACACTGAATACTTTAGTTCCCTTCAGTTCAGCCCAGCCAGGAGCTACGGCCTTCAGTTTGGGACTGTTTAATAATGACCAAGAGGGAATCAGCCTTTATGAGCCGTTATGAGGATTTCTGTGAGGTCTGTAGTTCTTCTACGCTGCCCCACACCTTACAGAACCAGACCAGGGAAGTGGCACATATCTGAACCTCCCTCCCCATCTACCCCACCCAATCCAACACTCTGTTTTATGTATTAGCTGCTATTGCATGATTATAAGATATTTAACCTGTTTTCTAGAACGAGGTAGAGTATGTACAAATGTCTCCATAAGCACACTAAGGTAAACTTGAGCACTTTCTAGAGATAACCTTCCTTCTTCCACCCCCACAAAAAAGACTGCTCCAAATCCCCCTACAGATATAACCCTTTAAGAACTGAGCAGAAAATTCTGGATCAATTCAAGGATCTATCATAATAAATAGAAACCAGCTACCCTCTGGGTTTTCAAGCTCTCCTAAGCGCTTTCCCTTCCCTTAATCTCTTTTCTCTGCCAGGATCTCTCCCACTGTTTTTGAGAGAGTCTGCTGCTATGTTCAGCCAGTTTCACTGAGGGCCTTGGTGAGTTCTAAACGTTTCTATAAAATAGCACTTGTAGTTTCCAAAGGAAATGAGTTCCTTCAAAAGCCAAGGAGCATGGGAAGGAACTGAGGCCTTTCAAACACCAGCCACCTCTCGCCATCCCTGTGAGTGGCCACTTGGGTTGCACCCGCGCTAGCCCCAGCTGAGCCTAACCCTGCAGCCTAGTCCATGTCCTGACTGCGGCCTCGGGAGAGATCCCAGACCAGGCTGCCCAGCTAAGCCGACCGCGAGTCCTGACCCACTGAAACTATGGGATAGTAAATGTTGATTATTGTGGGCTTTTTTTTTTTTTTCTAAGTCAAGGAGGGTCTCCTTCCTCCATTATGCCAAGATACAGTATCTAAGTCTCTGGCAGTAGGGTTACTAAGCACATGGGTTAAGAGCGGGGTGTGGTCAGGCATTCTGGGTTTAACTCACAGTTCTAGTTCCTGAGACCTCTGCAGCGTGAAACATACAACCTAACCTGCGCATCGCTCTCCCTACCTACAAAACAGGAGTCACGGCGGCACCTTTTTCAGAGGACTCGTGCAAAGAAGTAAATGGCACCTACTGAGCTCCTACTAAGCTGTCATTTTTATCATGTCCCTGTTGATTTTCCTGTTTTTAGGCTAAAGAGTCCTGATTCCTCTTGGTCTAATTTCTCATTCATTGTATTTGTTCTTTGTTTTGTTTTTTAATTTTTTTATAAAGATGTGGCTCACTATGTTGCCCAGGCTGGTCTCGGCCAATCCTCCTACCTCAGCCTCCCAAAGTGCTGAGATTACAGGCGTAAGCCACTGAACCCTGGCCCTCATTCCTTTTGTAATCATTTTTCTCTTGATCCTTCTAAGATTTTTTTGGGTTGCGGCCACAGAATCTTCCAAGGTAAGCCACAGACCCATCAGGCAGACGAACTGTCTTTTCATCTTGTTTCCAGGACATCTCCTGAAGGTGCCCAGCCTTCTGGCTCCAGTACACACACCACTGTTGGAAGCGTGCTGGGGGATAAGCATCCTAGAAGGGTTCCTTGATTCCTGTCCTGATACCTCAAAGGTCATCATTTCATAAATGGAGCATGGGCATGTTTTTTTCCCTCCTTCTTGGAAGACTGATAATACTTTTCAGTCAAGGCCTTTCACTGCTCATTTCTGCCCCCATGTCAGTCATACTGCCATTGGCCTTGGATAGAAGCCAGAGAGCCTGAATCTTCCTCTCCATGGTCTTGTCTTAAGGGTCCAACCAGCTCTTCTATCTACTTTATTCACTCATTGTCTCCAGTGGAATCATTATATATTTGAAGGCTCAGAAGTCACCTAACAACACATTGAGACACATTTTGCCTTGAAAAAGAGCCAATGGGCTGGGTGCAGCGGCTCATGCCTGAAATCCCAGCCCACTTTGGGAGGCTGAGGTAGGAGGATCACTTAAGGCCAAGAGTTGAAGACCAGTATGGTACATAGTGAGACTTTGTCTATACAAAAATATTAATTAATTAAAAGGAGCCAGCCAGGCTCCGTGGCTCACACCTATAATCCCAGCACTTTGGGAGTCCAAGGAGGGTGAATCACTTGAGTTCAGGAGTTCAAGACCAGCCTGGGCAACATGGCAAAACCCCATCTTTAATAAAAATACCAAAAATCGGCCAAATGTGGTGGCATACTACTGTAGTCATGGCTACTGGGGAGGCTGAAGTGGGACAATCACCTGAGCCCGGGAGGTCAAGGCTGCAGTGAGCCAAGATCATGCCACTGCACTCCAGTCTAGGCAACCAGAATGAGACTGTCTCAAAAAAATAAAACAGGACTGGGTGTGATGGCTCACACCTGTAATCCCAGAACTTTGAGGGGCTGAGATGGGCATGTCGTTTGAGCTTAGGAGTTCTACACCATTCCAGGCAACATGGTAAGACCCTGTCTCTATTAAAAATATAAAAAATTAGCCAGGCCTGGTGGCATGCATCTGTGGTCCCCACTACCTGGGCTGAGGTGGGAAGACTGCTTGAGCCTGGGGTGGGGGCAGACGTTGCAGTGAGCCAAGACTGTGTCACTGCACTCCAGCCTGGGTGACAGAGCGAGACCCTGTCTCAAAAAAATAAATTAAATTTAAATTTAAATAGCCACTGAAGAGAGGAAGGGCCTTTTTTCTTTAAACTAAACTTTCAAGAACATAGCCCTCCTCTGTTCTATTTGAGACCTCTGGCTGTCACCATCATAACCAAGTGATCAAATTTACTGTCACTGAGAGTAAGACAACCTGATGCCACATGGTTCACATGAAAGAGGGAGACAGAGAAACATTAAATGATGGCATGAGGAAGCAATCAGACAATGCCGAAATGTGGGACATCCATACACTAACTGTCCTGGACTTCTGAAAAAAATCAATGTCATTAAATCCATTAAAAAAAAAAAGGAGGCAAGATGGAGTCTCTTCTACATTTAAAGAAAACAAACAAATGCCATGCATGAATTTAAATGAAATCTTGGTTTGATAAAAATATATTATTGGGATAAGTGGAGAAATATGCATGCAAACTGAGTATTAAATGATGTTTGAAATTATTATTATTATTTTTTTGAAACAGAGTCTTGCTCTGTCGCCAGGCTGGAGTGCAGTGGCGCAATCTCAGCTCACTGCAACCTCTGCCTCCTGGGTTCAAGCGATTCTTCTGCCTCAGCCTCCTGAGTAACTGGGACCACAGGCACGCACCACCATGCCCGGCTATTTTTTGTATTTTTAGTAGAGACGGGGTTTCACCATGTTGGCCAGGATGGTCTCGATCTCTTGACCTTGTGATCCGTCCACCTCGGCCTCCCAAAGTGCTGGGATTACAGGTGTGAGCCACCGAGCCCGGCCGATGTTTGAAATTATTAATGTTCTTAGGTTCAGCAGTAGAACTATGGTTTTTTGGACAGGCATGGTGACTCATGTCTGTAATCCCAGCACTTTGGGAGGCTGAGGCAGGTGGATCGCCTGAGCTCAGGAGTTCGAGATCACCCCTGCCAACATGGTGAAACCCCGTCTCTACTAAAAATACAAAAATTAGCCGGTATGGTGGCACGCATCTATAATCCCAGCTACCTGGGAGGCTGAGGCAGGAGAATCGCTTCAACTCAGGAGGCGGAGGTGCCAGTGAGCCAGGATCATGCCACCACATTCCAGCCTGGGCAACAAAGCAAGACTCCATCCCAAAAAAAGAAAAAATTGTACTTTGGTTTATATGAGAATGTTCTTATTCTTGGGAGATGCAAGAGTAGATTAGAATGATACATGCATTTATTTTCAAGTGAATTTTTAGAAGAATAGGGTGAAGTTTTGGGGAGTAAAATGTCATGATATCTGCAATTTACCTTCAAATGGCTCAGGGAAAAAAACACACACACACATCCAGTCATATACTATGATAACACACAGATAAAACAAATTTGGCAAAAAGAATGTTAACAACTACCAGAAATAGACGGAGAGCATTTGGGTGTTCATTTTATCACTCTTTCAATTCTTCTGTATGTTTGCAAATTGCATAATTAAACATTGGGAAAAGGTTTTTTTAAATTGGCAAGGTTATTTAAAAAATTAAACCTCAGAGAACAGAACACC